CCCCAAAACCCCAAAACCCCAAAACCCCAAAACCCCAAAACCCCTTATAAGAGCAATACTCTTGAGTAATATTAATAAAGATCAGAAAAGAAGAAAATGGGTTGCAACAATTCCTCCAAAAACATCAAATCTCTTAAACCTCTTGAGGCAAGTTCCAAGACCTCTAGCTCCTCGGTAGAGACTCCTCGGAGTTCCTTTCGAGACAATGTAGTTCAAGACGTGCACAAGCGGAATAGGGTAAGTACCATAAGAGGAAGAACATAATTATTTGATGGATGAGTCTCTTAGTGATTAAACCTATATCATATCTGTTTTCCTTACTTAATATGGTATTCTATAACTTTTTCAAATACTAATCTTTAATTTAGATGGTGAAGGCTTACTTTAAAGAAGTTCATGAAATTCAGGACAAGATGAACACCTTAGAGACTAGTATAGAAATTAGGAGGATTACCTCCCTTCAAGAAGATCCACAAGCTTTGAAGACCTTTGAAGATCTAGAGGAGACTCAGAAAACTCTTTTAGATAAAATTGCTATTCAGGAAAATATCATTCATAATGGCATCACAAGGCTCAGAATTGTAGAGAGTTCTTCTCTAAACTCTTCTAAAGATGCCAACACAAGCTGAAATCGTAGGAAGATGCATTAATTTGGGATTTCAGATGCTTTTTAAGTTAATTAATTAAGAATTTTCCTATTATGTACTATTTTTGGAAGTAAATGAATATCATTAGTGAAAACAACAGGATCCTTAGGAATGCTTAGGTCTTCTACACTTTTCTATCTTACCAGAAAGAAACTAAAAGGTTATAGATATGAACTTTAAAGGGTTTTATTGGTGAGTTTTTATGGTAGGAAAGAGATGTAAAAAATTAGTACGAATTATCCTTCAATTTTGTGGAGACAAAAGATCACGATTACTTTAGAATTCTGACCAAACAAGTTTATAAAGTTTCACTATACCCTATCATTTTACACCCTACCTTCTTATCAACCTGCTAAAATCTCACCAAACACTCCCACCCAACTCCTCCATTCTCTTCTCAGTACTTCATGATCAAAGTTAAGCCCTTCTCTATTAACTCATCCTAAATTCCACTCAAACACCACTCTCAGAAATCTGAGACCACTTATTTTGCTTATCTTAAGCTCTTCTTTTCATTTTTTGTAAATAAACTCCTAATATCTTAATATAGCTGATGAAGAAATCAGAATTGACACTCCAAAGAGGACTATTATAAACACTCTATATGTAAGATAGAGAGATGAGAAAGCCGCCAGATTCTAATATAGATAATTATTATTATTTTGTAAATATTGCGTAAAATAATGATGCTTTAAGAGGACTTGGGAGCTAGATAGATGTAGCGTAAAATGGTGACTTCAGAGCTTCAATATAGCTCGGTTTTGATTAAAAAGGTGTTATATTTCTTATGCTTTTTAGATCGAACACACCAAACAGTAAAATTTTTAATACGATCTTTGTGATACTAAAAACGGAACAGTATTCATAGATTTCTGTCTATATATTCCTTTTGTACGGTTTACCTAAAACTAGATGATCCTCTAATCTGACTTTGTCTCAGATAAAAGCTATACACATTTATCACTAGAAATAGTTCTGAGGACTTTGTTTATCCAAATCTGTAAACCTAAGCTAAACACGAATTTATCCTAGCAGTCCGATCGATGTGCTAAAACCTGTGTTTCTTCAGTTTCAATCTGGTCTAAAAAGACTGGGGTTTTGGGGTTTTGGGGTTTTGGGG